GGGCGGTGGTGGACAGCAATACCGATCGAGGCACGGGGGCTCCTAGCCGGGGCTGCTTGGCGTCATCGAGCTACTACTCCGCGAGGTGTGGGTGGGCGCGTCGGGATGCCCTCCGGTGAGGAAGAAGGCGCGGCGTCGGGGGTTGCCTGGGAAAGTGAAATCGGCGGCGGCGTGGCGCACGCGAGCGTGTGTCGGGGCAGCCAGGGGCTCCTCCTTGAGGGGCGCGGCGTCGGGGCTACTCCGGCGAGGTGGGCGGGCGTCGGGGTGCCCTCCTGTGAGGAAGGCGGCGTCGGGGGTGGCCGGGAAGGCGAAATTGGCGGCGGCGTGGCGCGCGCGGCGTCGGGGACGGCCGGGGACTCCTCGGTGAGGGGCGCGGCGTCGGGGCTACTCCGGCGAGGTGGGCGAGCCTCAGGGTGCCCTCTGGTGAGGAAGGCGGCGTCGGGGGTGGCCGTGGAGGCGAATCGGCGGCGGCGGAGCTCTGGGGACGCGCTGAAGACAAAGACGATCGATGAGGAGGAAGAGAAAAGGAAGGCGGCGGTATATAGGAGAGGGACCTTTAGTCCCGGCTCCATCCACCGCTCGGGACTAAAGCACCTTTAGTCCCGGCTCCTACCACCAGCCGGGACTAAAGGATTTTTTGGTGGGCCATCAAATGCAGCCCACCTTTAGTTCTAGCTGGTGGCAGGAGCCGGGACTAAAGGTGGGCTACATTTTCATTTCCCGCCAACTTTTAAGCAGATCAGTTTATTTTATATATGTTTTATATTTAAATGTTTAAGTCTTATTATTTGCGCAGTAAATTCAATACTAGGTATAAATTTTTTTAGAAAAAGTAATAAACTTTATTTTCATTTACTGCACATAAAAAAAATATGTGACCCAAACTATTGTGTTTTTTATTATAAATGTTGAACATAATGCAACTAATACTCACTAATTCGCGCGAAAATTCAATTAAAATGAAAAAAGTACCAAACCACCTCAAAAAAATCTCAAACTTGGTGGTGGCTACACATAAGGCATTGGAAGTCTTAAGAAAAATTTTCAGCCTAATCTGGCACTAGAAAGCACATGGACCTCAGAATCCCAGAGAACCTAGGTGTATAGAAAGGGTTCGACGAAAGATTCTATATACCTCTGTGAAGCACGTCGACTCCGCCTATGTCGAAATGGCTTAAAAAAATTTTGGCAGTCATTTACACCCAAAATATGGCCCCACACAAGATCTTAGGTTTTTCTGATAATTATTTTTATTATTACATTTTTCTTTGTGCCGCGTGAGACGAAATACGGCGAATTACATATTCAAAACAATATAATTTTGCATCAACCTCCACAAATATTTGTCTCCTAGGGCACAAGAGACCATTGGCAAAGTTTGGCACCATTCCGGATCTTTTCGGGGGTGGACTCAGTTCAACGTATAATTAATCGGTGAAGTCGCGTGGAAATTCAATTAAAGTGAAAAATTTACCAAACCAATTCAGAAAAATCTCGAACTTGGTGGTGGCTTCACACTGGGCATTTGAAACCCTGATAAGAATTATGAGATCAATCAGGCACTAGAAAGCACATGGACAAAAAAATTCAAAGTATTGTTAACAAAAGAATATAATCAATTAAAGGGTCTTTTCTCTTATTAAATAAATGTTTGGGTGCTTTCTTATCGAGAAAGTGACTTAGTTCAGATGGCTAGCTAGTGCGCTGCGGTTTGGACCTTGGCTATGAGGTCGTGGGTTCAATGCCTGGCTGCCCCATTTTTTTGTCCAACGGGACTATATTATTTTATCAAGAAAGATTTTATCCCGATTATAGCCCAGAGCCGGGACTAAAGGTCATCCTTTAGTCCCGGCTGGAGCCTCAAGCCGGGAGTAAAGATTTATTCCTGGTTGGAGGGTCCAGCCGGGACTAAAGGATAACCTTTAGTCCTGGCTCTGGGCTATAACCGGGACTAATTGTTGCCTGTCGTCGCCACACACTTGGGGCAGGAACTTTGTATCCTTGTTTGAGGATACAACCAGGACTAATAGTCCATTTAGTCCCGAACACAAAAATACCAGGACTAAAGGCAAAAATAGAGGCGGGATGAAATGTCTGTTTTCTAGTAGTGAGTGCTGTTAATAATTCTTTTGGTCCTTTTATCATGACCAAAGCGCATGCACGGCCCCCCTCAATAAGTTCACTGATGGCTAGCCTATTCGCTTGGTCGTGTTTGGCTTATAAGCCGTACTTTTTCAGCCAGCGAACAGTATTTTTCTCTCACACCAAATCAGCCAACAATACTTTCAGTCATGACTTATCAGTCAAACAAGCCAAAACGAACAATTACACTCCCTCAAGTCAAAAGTACGATGTCAATTTTAGTTTTACCTGCAGTATACTATACTCCATAGGTTCTTTTGTCCTAAGTCAAATATTACTATCTTTGATCAACATTTAAAAAAATTCTTATAATTTCACAAACATACAAAATATATATTATGAAAGTATCTCTCATAGTGAATATAAAAACATAGACATGAATCTATATAAATCTTTTGAAGTTAATGATCAAATCAAAGACATAAATGTTTGATTTAATTAATCCATCATCTAATAAAAAACGGAGAAAGTACTGTTCTTACGATCGTTCTAAATGATTGGTTACTTTTCTCTCAAACAACTATTTGACATATTAATTTGGCCAAAATTAGATTTTGTTTCCCCAAGTGCTGGCTCAGTGGTGCTTTAAAGCGCGCGCTGACTAGGCTCAGCGATCTTTAGGGAAACAAATAGACCGAACTATAAACAGGCCTAATTGTATCTGGTCAGCATGGCCCATTGACACGGAGCTAGGCTAACAAACAGGAACAGACCTCCAATTCCATTTGAGCGGGTATTCACCGGATCCGAAGGTGGCGAACGATCAGACCAATGGCTTTCGTCCCCTCGCGTTTTTCCATGAGATGTGACCTCGCTGCCCATACATAAAAAACAAAACATTTATTTCAAAATCTTATAGCTTCTGAAGGTGTATTCATTTTCAATTTTGTTTGTACTGGATGTGTTCTACGTGACGAGGTGAACAAAACTACACTCCACTTGTATATATTTTGAAGATTTTTCTAATAGCAATTTGTGTATATTAACTTATAACATAAAACTTATAACTTACAACTTATGCATACAAGTTGTATTGAATAACTTATATACACAAGTTGTATAGAATAACTTATGTACACAAGTTGTGTTTCATAACTTTTGTTTTCTAAGTTCTGGTATAAGTTATATGTTAATTCGTTCCTTTGTATGTTAATAACTTTTGTGTTTACAAGTTTTGGCACAAGTTATAAGTTAATTCGTTTATTTATTTTTAATAATTTTTTGTATATAAGTTATGTTTCATAATTCTTGAATTTTTAAGTTTTTCGCATAAATTATATGTTGTAAGAAGTTATATGTTATAAGTTAGTACACATAACTCTTGCTACTAGAAAAAAAAATCTTCGAAATATATGTAAGTGTGATCTAGTTTCGTTAATCTCGTCGCGTAGAACATACTGGTGTAAACAAAATTAAAAATAAATACTTCGTTCAGAAGTTATAGCAATTTAAAGCAAATATTTTGCGTGGGCCCTAACACACCGTGCAGCCAATTGAAAACGAGTGGACGCATGCAGCGGTTGGCTGACCAGCGCTCGCAGCAGAGCACCCCAAAAGAGAATGGCCACACGTGGCACTATCCAGAGGTGGAAATTATTTTTTCGTGTCGGAATATCGTTCGCCGGATTGAATTAGAACGGCGTTCGCCGATTAGTTCAGCTGAGACCCACCCTACCCTTGGCTGCTGAAGCTAAAAATGAGCATATAGCCCTTAGCCCGGTGGCACGGCCCAAAGCACGATTTTTTTGTCCGACCCAAGCATGGCACGGCCCGGTGGAGCAGGCCGTGCCTAGGCCGCACCCTAGGCATGCCGGGCGGCACGACACGGCCCGGTATTGAGGGGAAGGCCCGGTAGCGGCCCATTGACTCCCACAGTCTTGTGGCCTGCTAACAGCCCACACCCCTTTCCTATCCTAACCCTAGCTCTATTCCCCCCGTGCCGTCGTTCTCCCAATCTCCCGCAAGGCCACCGCGACGAGTTGCGAGGCTCCGGCGCTACGCGGCGAGATGCAAACGGTGGCCACCTCCTCCTCAACCCCAGCACCACCGGTCGGCTCCTCCTCCGCGAGCGACTCCACGTCCACGCCCCCTCCTCCGCGACCGACACCGTGTCTACCGGTGGGCTCATCCTCCGCGAGGCTCGAGCGACTCCGCGGACGGCGGACTCTAGCATGAGCGACAGCCTCCTTTGTGTCCATGCCCCCTGATGCCGTATCCATCTCGTCTTCCATGTCCATGACCCCCATGCGGCCGGATCTGATGTCGTCGCCGCCGAGGGCCAGCAACCCCCTTGGCCCCACGCCTCTCCACCGCCTCCGCTGCGGCGGCGGCTAGCCTCCTTCTACGGCCTCGAGCATCACGATCTTCCTCTCTTCGCCTGCTGAAACGGGCCTCGGATTGGCCCGGACTGCAGAGCAGGCCGTGCTTTCCGGCTCGGCACGACACGGAAAGTGTCCAGACAGGCCGTGCCTGGGCCGTCGGCCAGGCACGAAGGACTGTCGGGGCATGGCCTGGCGGCCTGACGGGCCCTTTCGTGCCATGCCCTATCGGGCCGTGCCTGGCACGGGCCCGTGTCGGGCAGGCCGAGCGGCCCGTTTGCTCATCTTTAGCCGAAGCTGTAAAAAATCAGCTAGTGAAGCAGCTTTTGAAGTCGTACCAAACGACAGCTTAATGTCGCCAGTACGTCTTGATTCCTTGCAAGTCCAGATACCAGTTTAGAGGCACCTGCTGCGTGGATAAGCTTTATGGGCATCAAGATGCCGTCCACACACCCTGCCCAGTGTCCCGGCTCAGAGCTAATAAAGCACACTCATATTTCACTCCTCTAGTCGTCGCTCCTCCCATCACTCTGCAGATCCATGGCCGACGAGGAACACCAGCAGCACACCAGCCACCACCACGGCCACCATTTCCTGGTGGTGGCCTACGGTATCCAGAGCCACGTCAACCCAGCGCGCGCCCTGGCACACCGCCTCGCTCAGCTCAGCGACGTCGTCGACGGCTCCATCCTCGCCACGCTCTCCGTGCATGTCGCCGCCCACCGCCGCATGTTCCCCTCGTCACTAGACGCGGACCAATGCGCCGGCGAGGAGGAGGCCTGCAGCGACGGCGTCATCTCCTACGTCCCCCACTCGGATGGCTTCGACGACGGCTCCTTGCCCAGAACCCCCGAGGACTGGGCCCGCAGGCGGCGCGTGAGCACCGATAGCCTCTCCGCCATGCTCGCGCGCTTCGCCGCCGGCGGGAGGCCCGTCACGTGCGTTGTGTGCACGTTGCTGGTGCCCGCGGCGGTCGAGGTCGCGACGCGCCACGGCATCCCCTTCGCCGTGTACTGGATCCAGCCGGCCACCGTCCTCGCCGCCGAGTACCACTACTTCCACGGCTACGGCGAGGTCGTCGCCGCCCACGTCACCGATCCCGCGTACGAGGTGAGCCTGCCCGGGCTACGCCGCCGTCCTCTCCGGATACGGGACTTCCCGTCCTACCTCGTCGACACGACGGGCAGCCCGCTGGCCAAGTCCGTCGTCGAGATGTTCCGGGAACTGTTCCAGAGCATGGACCAGTGGCGGCCCAAGGTTCTCGTGAACACGTTCGACGAGCTGGAGGTGACCGTGCTGTCGGAGATGAAGCGGCATCTCGACGTGTTCGCCGTCGGTCCCATGGTCGCCGCCGGTGGCTCATCAAACGAAGAACGGACGATCCATCTGTACAAGCACGACGACGCCGACAAGAAGAGGTACATGGACTGGCTCGGAGCTCAGCCGGAGAAGTCGGTGGTGTACGTCTCGTTCGGGAGCATAGCGAGCTACACCAAGCAGCAGATGGAGGAGATGGTCGAAGGGCTGCTGCAGTGTGGACGGCCATACTTGCTGGCCGTGCGCAGAGACGGGCTCGAGGAGGGTGCACGTCGCGTCCTGGAGAACACCACCCAGAGCAGCGGCGGCCATGGGATGGTCGTGGACTGGTGCAACCAGCCGGAGGTCCTGTCGCACCCGGCGGTCGGCTGCTTCGTCTCGCACTGCGGGTGGAACTCGACGATGGAGGCCATGGCCGCCGCCGTGCCACTCGTCGGCGTGCCCAGCATGTTCGACCAGCCGACGAATGCGCACTTGGTGGAGGAGGAGTGGGAGATCGGCATCAGAGGAGAGCGTAACAGTGAGGGCGTGTTAGCTGGGATGGAGCTGGCAAGGTGCGTTGAGTTGGTCATGGGTCAGGGTACGAAAGCAATGGCGATGAGGGAGAGAGTAAAGGCTTTGAAAGAGAGAGCTCAGCAGGCGGCAGATGCAGGTGGGCCGGCTGAGAGAAACCTTCGGGATTTTGTTAGCTCTGTCCAGCAGGTTTGTGGTTGTGTTAGGGTGAGTGATAACTTTCGTCCTGTCGAAATCGCTGAAGTCATTTGTGGAAAAAACTGAATCTCGTACATGTTCATGAAAATGACTTCTGGCCGATGATACTACTGTAGGAGTACTTTTGGTATAACAAGTACCTATAGATGTATATATATGAAATATGTTATTAGCTTATATATATTGCACATGATTGTTATTAGTAAGACTATCAGTTGGGAAACCCAATTTGATAGGACTAGTATATCTCCAAGGAAATTGGAGATAGAACTTCACAATTACTAAATGGAGAATACTAGTCCATCATGCGCGCCCTCGCGCGCGTCGGTTATCGGTTGGAAATGCAATCGGATCATCAAGAGGTTGTTGTAACAGATAGAATATATTTTTTATCAGACCAGAAATGCATATCGTTTTACAGGCTATACAAATTGTACTGCTCAAAAAGGGCTATGCTGAAGTTAAATACGACAGAGTCCATAATAACTATGACTCAATGAACTAACACAGTGATTATGGGCTCAATGAATCACTGTATAGATAGATCAGAGCACCCAAAAATTCAGTACAAACCGATTGCTGTTGTGTTTGGGCTTTTGCCCATCCTGTACATAAGACTCTTTGCCCTTAATTGATCTGTAGAGCCGATGCCAATACAATTACCTCAAAAACAAATTAGACAAATCCAGAATCTGAAAAAAAAGAGTACCTATCATATACCTTTCCTAATACAACCATGCAAATATATTACGAAGACATATAGAGTAATATGAGCCATTTTGAATTAGGAAACCAGAAAATGGTTGTCACTGAAGGCTACTTTTATATACATCAAGAACATTGAACCTTTTTTGTCATCAGCCGGAGTAAGCCATTAGACTGTAGTTAAGTTAGCACCCCCTCACCTAACTATGTCCACTGCAGGAAAAATAGCCAGCTAAGGTGCCACGCAAAGCTTCTACTGAGAGCACTATACAACCTAAGACTGGCAGCTTGGCTAGTATTTTCAACAAGAAATCACTCAACTGTAAAATTTCATTTAATTAGTACTGTCTTGAATATTACAAAGGTATATTAACTCAGTTAGGTAGCCTATATCAACAGTGCACAGCAAACTGCATATTTTAGTTAAAATTTCTTTTTAAAATATACATAGGTAGAATCGCTAAAAGTATATTAAAGAAAATTGTATGTAAATACACTGCAATTCTTGAATCATCAACATGTATAGCATAATGAATTATTTGCACCTTGCAGTAACATCTACTGGTTGGAGTGTGCTATTTCCATGAAATTAGACCAGCATACCATGTTGCTCCCCAAAAGACGTAAAACTCAATCAAACATCTCACCTCAGAAGATGCAAGATAAGAAAAGCGGCCAAGAAAACAGCACGACACGGCTGGCCACGGCCACCGCGCACACCGCATCCTACGCGGCCTAGTGCCGAGTGCGGGGCGCTATGGTTGTGGCTCCGGGGGGGGGGGGAGCACCGTGTCGCTTCAGACTGCGCCGACGGCCGCGGATCCGTTGGCGCCACCACGCTACCCTGCCTTGCAGTGCTAGGGTTTCGTGGAGCACGATGAGCGAATCACGATGAGCCGGCGTGGCCGGCCTGCTCGCTTGCGACGCGAGGAGAGGAGGGCGGGGCCGGCCACCACGCTTAGTGGCGCCCCTCGAGAGGCACGGAGAGAGAGGAAGGGGAGGCCGGTGAGGGAGGAGACGGAGGATGAGGACAACTCTTTTTTTCGAGCCGGGAAGGAGAAGGATTGAGAAGGAGGTAGAAGCTAAAGCTGTTTGGAGTATATATTTGGCCTACACTGATTCTGAAGAGGAGCCGTTCCGGAGCAAGGTAACTAGAGGGGAAGCTGGAGAAGTGGCGCAGAAGAAGATGAATCCGCTTCGACCAGAATCCGGAGGGAGCAACCGCAGCCATCGGATGAGGAGATCGGACGGCTGAGGCTATTTAGGGTGACGTGGATGCTGTTCCTGGTGGCCAAAGCAAACTGGCTTAATGATAGTAGAAGCTGAACTGTACAAGACAGATACTACCTCCATCCACAAGCATTCAAAATTTGTCTCTTTTGCTATTAACAAAGTCAGACGCCTTATTCCAAAATAAATAAAAAGGGACTTGCTAGCGCCCGAACGTCCGATCCGGGGCGCTAGCGTCGGGTGGTGTGCTTCCGTGCACACAAGTAGATCCCTCGTCCCGCACCAATCCCGTTTCGAAGGCCGCGTCCGTTCGTACGGAACTCCCGCGCCATGGGCCCAACGCGCACAACTCGCTTGCCCATGCCCACGCATGCTCGGGGACCATAACACCCCGGTGTTATGCCTACATTTAGGCACTGCAAATCACGCATATCATGCATCATCAAGCATCCTAATCATACATGCATAATCTTGCATATAATAATCAAACATTACTTGAAACATAATGAAACATGTTTGTGAAAGCGTAAATGATGCATACACTTATTAGAGTTGTTTTGCTCTGATTCTTGCTTGCTAGGTTAGTAGAACATGTTTGGCTGCTATTGTAAATCATCTAGCAATGTTTAGTTCAATTTTTGGAGCAATGTTTGTATTCAAATTAATTCAAAATTTGGCTTCAAGAATAAATTCAAAAATTAGGGTTTTGAGCTAAACGTGGACTTTGATCTTCCAATTCAAAATCTAGAAAGAATTTGGTCTGGTAGTCATAAAAGCAAAGTTGTAGGAATTAAATTCTAAGCAACTTTCATTTTTGGTACATTTTCAAAAGAGGTCATTTTCTTGCTCAAAATAATATTTGAAAACTGTATTTAAAAATTTATTGAAATTGGAAATTTAAAAGAGTGTTTACATTTGCGTCACCGCCTCCTGCCTTCATATGCAACATTCCAGCTGTGCGCCAATGAGCCTCCTTGCATGCCCACACTTGCCTCGCCTCTTCAGCCCAATGCCACTTGAAACATGCGCTCCGTCATGGCCAGCGGCTTACCCGTGGCCGCCAGCGCTAGCTCTCTACGAGGCGTCGCCAGCCACTGCACGCCGTGGCACACACCCTTCGCGCTCGCGCCAGCGCGCCCGCCTTCACTGCTGGTGTCCGCGCTTTCGTTCACTCGCTACCAGCACTTCCTCCCTTCTCCTCCACACCGCCGAGCTCCGGAGCTCCGCCCGTCGCACCGCGAGGTCGAGCTCCGCGTGGCGTCCAACTCAAGCACCACCGCACCATTCTCCAATTCCTCGTGCCCCGAGCTCCGCCTCGCCTTCCTCGGAGTCGTGCTGCTCGAACTTGCTCCGCCTTCCGAGCACAGTCGTCGACCTCCAAGCGCCTCGCCATCGGCGTCCATGGCACCGCCGTGCACGCAGCGCCGTGGGCGCCCTTTTCCTTCCCTCCAGATACCTCGATAGCGACCTTGCCGAGCTCGCTTTCTCCTCGCGCGTCTCCTGCGCTTCGCTCTCTGGCGTTGTTGGGTGGAGGAGGCACCCCGCCCGGCCTCGTGCCGCGATCAGAGCCGCTACCCACAACATGGCCGCCCGGCAAGCGCCTCGCGCCTCGGTGACTTAATTAACCGACGCTGCATATTCCGTTTTCCCCTCCCTCGGCGCTTGGGCACAGCGCGAGGCACTATGATGGCCGTGGGCCACTGTTTCAATGGGCCGCCCATGTTATTTAAAGTGAATTGATTTCCTTTATTATTTGTTATTTGAAATCAAAAAAGGTTTGAAAAATGTTTGGATGATCAAACTTGTTCCAAATTTGTTGAAACAAAATTTTCTAGGTTCCTTATCACCAGATCTACTTGAGAAAAATATAGTGCATGTCATTTTTGATATACTTTTCTATAGGATTTTATTTAATCTTGAATATTGCTGATAACTTGAAAAATATGTAGAAAAATATCTAGGCTTCAGAAAAATATGATTCCAAGTTTGTTAATCTTCTTATGTCATGTACTTCCTAGGAAAAATATATTTCATGCATGTGCTGTGGAAAACTTTAGAGGTGTAGTTCAAGTTCCTTTAATGGCTGATTTTTGTTATTTTTGCTAGAGAGCAAACTTTGTATAAAACATGCATGTGATAATTTTTGTACAGTCATTATATACCATGAAGAACCTAGGAAAAATATTAATTCTGTTGTTTGACACTTTTCATAGTACAAAGTAATTTCATGCTCATTTTTATGCTATAGCTTGTCATTTTTGTGTAGGATAGTTTACTTATCCAAATGCCATGAAATTTTTATGGTAGTCTGTTTAGGGTAGTAGTATGCTACTGTAATTTTCTCAGATTTTTAGGAGCATCAGAAATATAGGTTGCTATTCAAACCTATTATTAATTAAGGTATAAGCAAGTGTTGCCCTAAGTGTGATTAAGAAATTAGTAAAGCTTTGGTGTATCTTTGAAGCATTTCACAAGATAGGTTAACTTAACATATTAGTAGTAGAAGAGAATGCAGTAGATGACATGTGCTTGTAGCATAGTTTCTTGGATGATGTTGTCTACCTTGCCTTTCAACATATTCATTGCATTCATCTCCTTCGATGCACCGATTGCATAGGCACTTACACGCATTGCATCATACGGATCGCAAACCGAGAACCCAGTCGTCATTCCCGAGGAGCCCGAGGCGCAGTTAGTGAAGCAGCGAGAAGTGCCGGTTTAACGAGGGAGGGCGTTGAGGAACTTCCGGAGTGCCCGATCACCGTCCGAGCTCCTTGAGAGAGGCAAGCCCTTACATCTTTCTCCCGGTTTGCAATGATTTAGTTAAATGCTTTACTTTAAATTGATGCATTACGTTCAGGAGTTGTTTGCAACCGTTCTTTTAGTTTATACCTTGTTTACCTTTGTTATACTATATCCTTGTTACCTTTGGTATCCGCATGATCAGTCAATGCTTAGCTGGCTTAGACCGGTAGAAGTCGGGTGATTTCCTGTCACCTGCGAGCTATAGGTGGTTACCTGGATCTGTTTGGATGACTATGAAGTCATGGTATAACTAAGTGTTAAATGAAGTTGAGACCGGGCGGAGACTTGCAGGGTTTTGGACTGTAGTGTTTCCGTAAATAACTATAATTAAGACCGACCGTTGTTGGGCCTCGAGTCATGTTGAACGCATGCCTTACATTTAGTGGCGGATAAAGTACCTTCCGACCGCTTTTAGCCGAGATTTTTTTAGGCGAGTAGATTGCCCTAGAGTTGACGCCTTGTCTGTGCCAGCGTGTGTGGTAGGACACGGTTGCGGGATGATAAGACCAAAGTGCGCAGCGGTCGGCCCCGGTACATGTGGTTCTGGCAAACTCGAGATACTTGAAAGTTGACTCGGTGATCAATATCTCACTTTAGCGGGTGAGTGAGATTTGTATAGAATAAATCACCGCGGTTAGGAATCGATTCAATCGCCATCGCTCCCGGATAGTGAGCACTTGACTTGAGTGACTTCATCGTAGTAAATGTTTATGGAACACTTGGGCCAGTTTATAGTGAATATGGGAGAGTATGGAAGTTGTTTAATGATCGGTGGTTATCATTAATCGCTTAATCACATGTTTACTCTAGTATAGGTGAAAATCTAGTCGACCGGTTATAATAATAATTAACTTGACAATCTTGCTTTTAGAAAGGTTCTTGAAATGCTAAAATGCTTCTTTTGCAAATGAGTCGGCTACCCTACTATAATGCCCTGCATAATCCTTGGTGTCATTTTATTTTCGGTTATGTCGGGTAAGTCACCGGCGGTGGCGTACATTCTCGATACTCGGGGTTTTATTCCCACTTGTTGCGCGGATGGGCGATGTACTATGGCTATTGTATCAGCTGCCTCTATCCTGCGATGGGTGATGCTTAGGACCATGGGCATGGTCATTCCTTACGCCTCATCTAATGCTTTTGTTGGAGATGATCATCATGGCCGGCACTATATTTGAACTCCGTGTGTGAGTGTGTGTGGTTTTAAACAAATGACTTCCGCTACTTTTATTCCGAACTTGTTTTGTAATAACTTTTATTTAAACTCGATGTATCTCATTATGGAAACTTTTATGTAATATGTGATTGGTGACCGCTAAACTTATTACGATCATGGCGCCGGGACACGAGTTGGTTTGAAATCCTTCGTGATTTCACGGACTACCGGGTTATCTGGGCTTAAGTTTGCTCAATCGTGCGCTCTGGTGGATGATTTTCTTACTTAATTTCATATAATTGGTCGGTTCTACATTACGACCACTCAAACCCCATTTGTGTTTCCCACGCCCGCATGCACGCAAGCAGATCGCAAAGCGGTGACGGTGACGGTGACTGACGACGCACTAAGACTAGCGTAGCCCTGAGCCAATCTCGGCTTAGTTTGCATGCCGACCAAATCGCCACCATTGCAACATGTGCTCTCCCGAGATATAGTTTTGAAACATCCAAATGAAATACTTGCAACATACGTATAAAATAGATGAAACACTTGAAAACATGCGTGTATAACCATAGCAACATGTGCAACACCATATCTACTTTTGCAACATCCAGATGAAACATTTGCAACATATGTCTAAAACAGATGAAATACTTGAAACATGTGCTTGAAACATGCGGGTATAGACATTGCAACATGTGCAACACCAAGAGTTACTTTTGAAACATCCAGATGAAACATTTACAACATACGTCCGAAACACCTGGAACACTTGAAACATAGCCTTGCAACATGCGTATTTTGTCATTGCAACATATGCAACATTCCAGTTCTACGTTTTGCAACATCCAGATAGAACACTTGAAACGAAGGTCTGAAACGTCTGAAACACTTGAAACACAGCATTCGTCGCGTGGCCACGGCCTACCTGGTGGTGGGGGCGCTAGACTGGAAACGGCGAGGCCTAGCCGAGCAGGGGGCCAAGGAGGGCTACCACCCAGAGGGGCCCCGCCAGGAGCGCCGTCTCCCAGGCCACCCCCGACGCCATGGGCTGCTCTAGCACCCTCGTCACAGCCAACAGGACATACCCCATCGGAGCCGGCCGGCCGGGCTACGACGAGGTGGGGGGATGGACGTGGTAGTGTGTGTGGGTGGGGAAGGAGATGAGGTGCTCGACGCGGCACAGGATGGAGCATGGCCGGGAATGGGGAGCCAAGCGTCGTGGGCGGGCGGGCGCGTGCGCATCATGGGAGGGAGCGAGTGGTGGGGAAAGGCGGAAGCAGCGAGGTGAAGATTCGAGAGGAAAGTGAGCAGAGTTTTTTTTATATTTTTAGCAACACGATCGACCGTGCGATTGGTAGTGTTGGGCCATATGGACGGGCGAGGCCCACCACTGTGGGTGTCTGGACGATCAGACGTCTTACCCACAACATTACCGAAATAAAAAAAACCATGCACTTCAAAGACTTAATTAACCTTGTGTATTCAGTTCCTACCACTACACTACACATACACTATGTAAAGGAAATAACACCTTGCATGGGCCATTATGTGATTTTGGTGTTTCTTGAACAATTTGACCGTTTTGACTAACAAAGTTTGCTAGTATACAAGGAAAGTTCAAATGGATGCAAGGCTGGCTTGGACTTAAGGCATGGAGGTTAGGATGGTCAGCACGTCAAGCAAAACATTAGAAGACATGTTGAAGACTTATAAGACATACTAAAAGTCCAAAACAACAACCCCAAACGTAAAGACACGAAGACACATAGAAGAACAATGCTGCGTCAACAGTACCAGATAAGTTCAGTGGCTACCAGGAGATAGCACCAGAGAAAGCGGCTGCAGCACATATAGTACAGTGAAAACAGAAGCACTGAAAAAGGTGCGTTGTTCCTAGGCAGGCAGCACTAGAGAAAACACTGGCACTATTCAAACTGTTGGTTTGGCACCAAATTTATACGGTGGTCACGGAGAAGTCAGCACTGGAGATAAGGGTGGCGTCCAGAGGCGTTCCAGAGAGGATATCGAGGCACCGAATTTATCTGGTGATATGCATCAGAGAAGCACCGAAGAAAAGCCCTCAGATCGCGTCTAGTTCAATGGCTAGCTTTCCAGTGAGTACGCAGAGGCCGTGGCTTGCTACCCAGTGGCTAGTTTCTTTGGGGGCCTATATATACCCCCATGGATGGTTCTTTTAAGTGCCCTAGCCATCAAAGTGCTTAAAGATTACAACACGGTGATTAGCGTAGGTGCTTTGCAAAGTAATTAGATTAGTTATACCATTGCTTATGCATGCGCTTGCTCTAGGTTTGTGTTGTGTTTAGTGAGGTTTGCACATCTCTCACTACTCGATACTTGCGCTCATCATTGTTTTACTGAGGGTCATGTAGTCTTGCAAGATTACATCAACCGTGTTTGTGGTGTGGCCGCCACTGTGTACTAAAGGGAAAGAGACACACAATGATTTGGCCGGCTCAATAGTGAAGATGGCGAGGAGCGGTCCGGGAGAAGGACTAGCGGAGACCCACTTACACGTGGGGAAGGCCCGCGGCTTCACAAAGTTACTCAACTGGGAGCTTGGCCCTTACGATTTCATCCTTGCGAGGGGCTCCAATGGGGATTAGGGGGAAGTGTGAGCTTTTTGATACCTCGATAAGAATACCGGAGTCCTCAACGAGAGTTTGCTTCTCTTAGTGGTTGACGATGTATTCTCTTAGTGGTTGATGACTTTGGTTGTCGACAATGAAGACTTTGTCAATATCAAGATCAGCCAATGACTCTTTTTGTAGGTGCTTATAGGGGTATGGTCTATGTGCGCGTATGCGTCCATAGGGGTGTGGATGTGCATCCATGTATGTTAGTGTATGTATTTATACCGAGATTTACAAAAAAACATAAAAGCATTTAGAATCTCAAGTCTTAAGTTCGACCAAATTTACATAAATAACTATAAATATTTATGGTACCAAATAATATCATTAGATTCATTATGAAATACATTTCATAATATGACTAATTAGAATAATAAATGTTGATATTTTTTCTATGAATTTTATTAATTTTAAAATAGTTCAATTAAGAACACCTCTAGAGTTGAATTCTTCTATTTACGATTTAGGAGTAATAATACCTTTATGTTGTGCGTCATCTTATGGAACATGTTTGTAGCAGCCGCAAGACGACACATATAGTAGCGAGAAAAGTACTTGATATATAGGAGTAACAAGGAAATCATTTTGAGATATATGGTTATATATATATATAGAGAGAGAGAGAGCGCGCCTGGGCTTCAAATAGTTCTCAGCGCACCGGTGGAGCGCCGCCCGTCTCCGGCGACTAATTAATCAGGAACGATTACTGTGGTCCCACCATTATTTACTACCGTCAGCACACCGGGAGAGTTAGGACCTGTTTCACAGGGCTCCTCCTGAGGGGCTTCTCCGGAGGAGCCAGAATCATTTTGGAGGAGCCATAAATTGTGGCTCCTCCAAAACAGTTTCGATTCCTCTATTTTTTACTGAAAAACGACTTTTTCAGAAAAACGTTTGGCAAGGCTCCTCTGAGGAGCCAGAGCCGGAGCCGGAGAGGAGCCCTGCCAAATACGCCCTTTATCGGTTGTTTATTATTGCTCCGGTCCGTGATCACCGCACTAAAATCCCGGCCCTTAACCCGCATTGCAGTCAACCGCAGCCCATCCGGATTATACTCCTCCCGTCGCAGCTTCTCTATTTCCTCCATTCTGCAATGACCTCGCCACATCCGTCACGACGCGCTCCGGCGGTGGCGGCGCGCCCTCGATCCGCGCGCACGACGCGCTTCGGCGGTAGTGGCGCGCCCTCTTCTCGCGCAGACGACGTGCACCGGCGGTGGCGGTGCACCCTCGACTCGCGCGCACGACACTCCCGGTGATGGCGCGGCCCGTCCAGAGGAGATGGCGGCCCCCGGCAGTGTGGCTCCTTCAACCTTCGTGGCCCTCACCAACGAACTCCTTCATGGCGCTCTCAAGGATCAACGACGGCAATGGAGTCGGCGTCATCCGGTGGCAGCGTCCATCCCAAATCTCGTTGACTGCTGGGCGCCATGGCCGGCGGTGGTGCAGATCACCGGCGGGGGCAGATCCGCGCGTGGCGGCCTGGCCGGTGGCCGCCCGCTGCCGGATCTAGTACCAGGCGGACCTCCTGCTGCAGTTCGGCATGTGAGCGCCACCTCCGGCCGTGCTCCTTGGTGGCCCACTCGCGTGAGTGCCCGTGCACGGGAGAAGAGCGACACCAGCCTCGCCGCCGTCGCCAGCTGTTGTGCCTTTCGTTGTTTTGTCACCGTGGGCGCGTCGCCGGCACCGAAGGGATGCCTCGTGGCCGTAGCACTAGCACGGCGGCTGCAGTGGCCCTTCTCACCTTCCTCTTTGCGATTTGCAGATCCGTGGTTCTGCAAGGTCAGTCAACGAGCAATATATGCCCTGATGCCAATCTCAAATTATTTTGCATGATTTTAAATCTCAATATCTAATTCTTTTGTCCTGGTGGCAGCAGGCTTTGATGGAGATACGTTATTGAAGAGGGCATGATCCTCGGCCCTGTGAAGTAGGCGATGGCGCCGTCCGAGCCCGTCGCATGCCCAAGCACCTTCACACGAGTCGACGACCTCGACGTTGTGTGCGGTGCATCTCTCCACACTGACAGCAAAAGCCGGTATCTGCGACTGGTGCCTGGCTGCGCTGGCGATGGTCCAGGATCTCAACGCCGTCATGTGGTACATCTATCGTAGTTGCCGCGCTCGTTGCGCCGGCACCGGAGATAGGAACAACGGCAAGTCGGCAACAACTTCGACAATCGACGGATCGACCTGAAGAAGCCAGCCGTGGAGGCGCAACCCAATGCCATGGTGTACTCAACAGCGGGGACCAAGCACGCAGCGCCGCTGCTGTCGGCCAAGTGTGCCATCTGCCGGCACATGAGTGCACGAGCCGACCAGCAGTGCTAGGCTGCTAGCTGCTACGGCTTGCACTCCCCTCCTGCCGCCGGCCACCACTGTCCTTTCAGTCCAGGTCTCTCCACCATGCATCTCTAATTTTTTTCTCATTTGCCTCAAATGAAATTTGGCCTGCAATGTGCTCTCGACCATCCGCCGGCCACCACTGTGCTTCACTTTTATTTTCTATCAAGGAGTTTTCGTTCTGAATGTAAGTTCAGATCTAATTGATAATTGGAATGTGTGTATTTACCAAGAGAAAAGGATGAATATATTCAGATCTCATTTTATTACTGAACTTGAGTTCTTAGCTTAGTTTGTTACAGAATTCGATTTTTATAATAATTACTGTTTGAACATACAAGTAGCAAGAAGGATCATGTGAGTGCAAGTGATACAGGCTTTGCCTGGGAAGGATGATGGGCATTTGCCATTTTTTCTTTGTTTCTATTTTCTAGTAATGGCTTCCATACACCTGAAGTTCTCTCTCTCCATTTTGAGTACAGAATTGCAGGTGGCAACAGCACATTCATGAATCGATGGATCGAGGATGTATTGTGCTGAATCTTTGATTTCTTTTGAGTCTCCTTTTCTGAATCTTTGACGCTCCCTAAGCTCTGGTGCCTATTCCACCATGCTGGCCGGGGATCCATCGAGGCGGAAGCACATCCATGGTGAGGATCAAGCCTCCTGGTGGCCAACCGAGGAGCATGTGCTATCTACCTTTGGAATGATGGATGTTGTATTGGATTTTTGTTAATGAATTTGGCCAAACGTTTGTACAAATGTGTTGGATCTTAGGAGCTTCAACTCACGCTTACGAACTGTGGCTATGGATCTGTTGGATTTGATGGATTTTTTAGATGAATGTGGTTGATTTTTGTAGGAAGTGATGGACGTGAGCATTAAGATGTTTAATGTTTTTTAACGTGCGCAACATTATACAGATGTTTAATGTTTTTATTTTTCTAGACTAGATTTTTGTACAGATTGATGTTGGAACCTGCAATTATTCTGCTTGTGTACATCCACTAGTACAGAAACATGCTGTACTTCGGTTGGGAAACCCCTTCAGTCCCGATTTTTTAACCGGGAGCAAGAATCCAGGACTAAAGGGTCTCTTCTTTAGTTCCGGTTTCGCGCCACCTTTAGTCCTGGTTGGTATCAACCGGGGCTAAAGAGGCCTCCGGCCTGGCCACGTGGGCCAGCCCTTTAGTCCCGGTTGGTATTACCAACCGGGACAAAATGTTTCTTTTTTTTTCTTTTTTTTGTTTCTATTTTCAATTGATGATTCGTTTTGGTTTTCGAATATGTTTTCGAATACGCATTACACGCTGCTAATAATATACGTATTCTACACGCTTATAATGTTCGAACATTTTATACAAACTAAAGTATAAAACTAACGTATATATTACATGCATATACATATATTGTACGTTATTTTTATGTACATATAATATGTATATATATATTACAAATAAAGCTTGCATTGTATATTCTACCATATCCTTGGGATAACAAATTTACTCCATCTGGTTTGGCTTCCATGTTTCGTTCATGTCATTGTAGAACTCGTCGGCGGGGTTTAAGACCTGGTCATTAAGAAATCCTGCTATGGTCTCTTGAATTGCTTTCAGTTGGTCACGTCGTATGACTTTTTTCTTCAATCATAGAGTCTTCAATAAAAGTTAAAGGAAAAGTATTAATATATATATATATATATATGTGTTGGTCAGGTGATTACTTATATATATGAGCAATAAAAAAATTGTGAATATATGAATATATTTATATAACGTACTTTGAGGATCTCTTCAGGAGTTCTTTTTGCGTACGCCATGATGAACTCACAAACATAGTATCCGCAGTAGTTGTTCCCCCTGTTCTTGCCTCAGAACCCACTTTTACGAGAAAAAAGATCCGGTGAATTGAAAGCATGCATGGTGTTAATTGAATTATATATATATATATATATATATATATATATATATATATATATATATATATATATATATATGTAGCTATTACTTACTTTGTGTGCGATTACATCCAGTGGCGCTTTGCAATGTTTCATGTGGTGTTCCTCAATGAAACTTTTCCAAATACTGCACCCAATAAAATAAAAAATTAATTTGGCCTTTAATAATTGTTGTAGTTAAGAGATCGGGGTATATATAGTTGCTAGAGAGACCAAATTACTCTTGGATAATATCTATCATGTCTTGGTACTCTGTTTGCTCTTTTCTTAACGAGTCTAAGATGCTCAACCGACGATTGGCCATATCGATGACCATCAATATCCAGTGATTGCTGCATATGTTTTTATATACAAATATGATCGACATTAACTAGAGTCAACATATATATATATATATATATATATATATATATATATATATGCTTACTAGCTAAGCTATCTCCCATATATATATATATGGGAGATAGCTTAGCTAGTAAGCAAATAATTGAACAAATGTCCATATGATCGACATTAATTATTTAACACTCACTTGAAGTTATAGGGGAAGAGTATGTCCTTGTTTTGTTGGTTCACTAAGAATCTCATGAGATTTTTCTCGAGTTCAGCTTTCTATTGAGGTGGGGGAGTAGGGTGTTTAAATACGACATTTGGATCAACGAAACCAACATCATTATCCTTTCTCTTTCTGAGTTTTGTCATCTCATATCTGCATATATAAAAATATAGTGTGATGATATATAATATATATATATATACATGTAGCTTCATATATATACACTTTAATAGTAGAAAATAATCACACTTACAGATAATAGCAGCTAATGAGACTTTTGTCGAGAGAGTCCAAGTGGCATAGTTAGTGTAATTCTATAAACTCGACATATATAATATCATCATACGGAAGTAATGTTTGTTTCTAACTCGATGAAACAAAGGTCTCTCCCGTTCACACGCCGTGTACCACTTGTTTAGCGGTACATTTGCGTACCCAGTTCACCTAAGGCCTCAGGGTTGTATAGACTCTTTCCATGTTCAAATTTCTTCCAAGGATCCACTTTCGGAGCAGATGGTCCTTCAGCGAGCACTTGGGCAAGGTCCAAACCAGTTTCCTCGTAAAATCGAACCAGTTCCTCATAATCGACGTCCAGTAAGTCTAAGTTTGAACCATATTCATTATGAATGACAAGAGGGGGGACTGATTGTTGCGATTGTTGTCCGAGTTGTGCAACACCTTTCCCTACTCTAGTCTTTTTCTACGCCGCCTCAAATGACTTGGTGAGAGATCTTTCGTAGTCCAATTTTGGCTGGGTCTTTTGAGATTCCTGTTTTTTCTGGTTCACCTTCTTTCTTAGAAGATCTGGACGTAGTTAGAAGTATGGTTTTTCCGAGTTCTCCCTCGCTTGTCGTTGCTTTCTTACATTTTCGAAGAAACTTTTCACATCTTTTTGTACTTCAGTCTTTAATTCCTTTTCACTTTTCTCGTAAGACAATTTTCGGGGAATAACTGGATTAGAGGAGGCTTTCTTCTTTGCCGGCTGGTGGGCCAATGGCTTCGTTTGTAGGGCGGACCTCTTAGGAGCTGGAGACCTCCTTGGAGGCGTTGGAGACCTCCTTGGAGGCGTTGGAGACCTCCTTGGAGGCGTTGGAGACCTCCTTGGAGGTGGCGGCGGTGGAGACCTCCTTGGAGGTGGCGGTGGTGGCGGCGTTGCATAATCATTGCCCGGAGCACTATGATGATTTGGAGATTGAATAATTGGACTTAGGTTGGCGGAGGCCCTGCTGTGTGATTACAAAAAAGAATAATTAGGTATAAGAAATTGTTATTATTAATCATGCATGTCAATAGAAAATTTGTGAAAAAATTGTTTCGTTCACTTTTGTCCGCACCTATTGTCTGGCAGTTGAGGAGGCGGTGGTGGACTAGAGACCTCGGGAATAATGATGTAGCGCTTGCGCCATAGTATGAATGTCTTCTCTGCTTCTCCTAGAGTCTTCTTCCCATCACCTCCTGGAATGTCAAGAGGCAGATCACTAAAACCTTTGTTAACTCTATCCACTGAGACGCTAACATATCCAGGTGGTATTATTGCCCCATAGATTCTTGGTGTCTTGGTAGGATCTAGAGGAGAAAAAACACCAAGAGCCACCATGATTGTGGCATTCTCTTTTGGAATATGTAGCTCACAAGATGTAAACGGTGTAGTGATGTCATTCACGGGGAAACGTAGCATTGCGTCATCTTGATTTGGCAACTCCGTGGAAGCGCAACTGCTTTTCAACTGATCAGGGGGGCTAATATTAATATTGATTCCTGGATCTGATGCCTGCCTTTGGGCACTCATTGCTATTTGCATTTGCTTTATGATTTCGTCATGCATTCTAGCTTGCATGTCTTTTTCGCGCTCCTGTGCTTGAAGCAACGCCTCCCGTGACTCACGAACCAATTCCTCCAACCTGCTGATCCACGCTGCATCCTCATCCTTCCTTCTCTGCCGGCTTCTGTAGGTATCTCTATCGTTAGGGAAACCATGCTCCTAAGAAATATTCCGTCCTAAACCTCTCGTTCGGCCACTGTGTTCAGCGGTCCCGAGGGCATACGTCAGTTCATCCTTCTCTCTATTGGGCCTGAACGCACCAATAGCTTTAGCTTGTAGAGCATAAGAAAATCTTTGTGTTGCCCTTTCGAGTTTTGTGCCATGAACCAGCTTCCCGGTCTCTAGGTCCAGTCTTCCTCCATGAGCGAAAAATCAATTCTTCGTGCGTTTGGGCCAATTGAGTGATTCTGGTGTGATAC